CTAGCACCTCTTTAACCCATCCTCCCCTGTCCTCTACCCCATTTTCTCGTTTGCCTTGATTGCCCTGCCTCCCCCCTCTCTGTTAGTCCTTAACAGTCTCTCCCTTCCAACATGCCCCAGTTCTGACGAAGGGTCGTGGACCCAAAACATTGACACACTTTCCTTTCTCCATAGATGCTGCCTGACCTGCTTGTGTGTTCCCAGCGACTTCTGTTTTGGTTTCAATAAAATTCATCATTCACCTCATGGCTCTTTGTGGGACATTGCTGTGCAGAAATTAACTGCCACGTTTGTCTAAAAAATACACTTCACAGTAAAATCTTATGAAGCATTTCAAGACATTTCATTTCCCAATGTGAAAGGTGCTATACAAGATACAATGATGTTGCCCACAATATGCATAGTCAATACACTTTACAATATATTCTGTGAAGATAATATTCTCAACAATGTGATAAGTTACTATATCAAATGCCACAATTATTATATACCAATTGTAGGATTGTTAGAAATGGCACAATCACTGGAAAATTGCTGAGTTAACAGCCGTCTCTCTCTCTGCTGATCAGTGTCTGTATTGATGATGTCAGTGCAGTTGCTCAATGAGTACCTTCCCGCTTGAAAAGCAAACAAAACATCAAAAGGTAAATGAAAATGCAGAAATGTAAAGATCAGAGATATGTTTCAAAAGTAAGATTAAGGGTGTGAGTTTATTTGTTGAAAAAAAATCTTCACGTTAACGCTCCCTTTAAAGATTTGACACGTGAATTTTGATCAGAGTTGTACTAAATGTGCAAACGTTTACCATCCTTGTGCTGACTAGCAGAGGGTGCAATTCACAAACACGGACGCAACTGAGGGTTTATTTTCTGGTCAGGGTTTCATAACAAACCAAAGCACACAGATATCTCGAAACAACACTTTCTAATGTGGCTGAAAGCGTGAGGTTAATTTGAAAGAAAGACAATCCAGCAGTTCATGACGCCCCCCCCACCCCCCAGTCTCCCTTTGAACCTGGGTTCAATTCCTGGCAGGGTGAAATTTTGGGCAAGTTTCCTTACTCCACACACCCCTGTTTACCGATCGGTAAGTAGGAACCTGCTTGTTAGTCGATTGGTGATCGCTTTCCGGGGGTAATAATATTTCAAAAAAACAGAAATATAAATGATAAGAGTAATTTGATCGCTCAATCCACAACTGTTTGAGGGACACTGCTGTGTGCAATTGGCTGTTGCGTTTTGCCCACAAATATACAATGACTACACTTTGCAATATAGTCTGTGAGCCACTTTGGGACGTCTCAACGACAAGATAAGGCGCTAAATCAAATGCAAGGACTATTATTATTCATAATAGTAAAAGGTTTAAATGATTTGAAACAAAGGTGTCTGTAATAGAAAAAGCAGAGAGAGAGAGGGACAAAGAGAGAGGATACAATTCCTGCAACATTCTCAAAAGAATACAGTACAACAAGAGACAAATAAGATTCTTGTACTGTACATGCCAGCAAAGCATCTTTCTCCATCCATGGATAAATAGAAGACCTTAAATACGGAGGAGATAAAACATGCATAATATATTTTCTATGTTCACATTAAAATTCAATATATTATTTTACGGCTGATTGTATTAAATATTAGTTCAGCTCCCTTGCACCCCGATCTATGGAGAGAATTATCCTCTCAAAGTTACAGCAACAGCTTTTAGAATGTACACAGATTTTCTGTTACATCAATAAATGTATGCATCAACTCAGCTTTTAAGAGAATCAATTTCACACAAGCAAAAAAAAACAACTTCTGTTTACATACAACCCAAGATGCAAGTTAAATAATAAACCATTGTTGCTCTTTTGGGGCGCCATGGTACAAGCCGGGAGGAAATCTGTGAAAATGTGGGATTTATTCTAGTTTTGTTGAGAAATAGTCAAAAATCATCCAATTCACCAATAATAATAAATAATAATAATCTTGCATTTGATATAGTGTTTCTCACATCTTCTAAACATCTCAAAGCACTTCATAGAATATACTGTAAAGTGAATTGGCCTTATATTTGTGGGCAAAACACGGTAGCCAATTGCACACAGCAGTGTCCTACAAACAGTCGTGGATTGAGTGACCAAATTATTATTGTTTTGTTTTTGTTTGTTCTTTGAGGGATTATTATCCCCAGAAAAACGATCCGTCAATCGACTAACAACCGGGTTCCTACTTACTGCTAGGTAAACAGAATCGTGCGGAGTAAGGAAACTTATCCAACATTTCGCCAATGAATCACATTACGCTCCATGACATTTCTGCAGCTGCAAAGAGGGTATTTCAAAGAATAATAACCATCCTTGGATTTACTGTAGCGCCTTGTCATGTTGGAAAGACATCCCAAAATGCTTTACAGGATTTGATGTGAAATGGAGTGACTGTGTATTTGTAGGCAAACTTGGCAGCACAATTTCACACAGCAATGTCCCACAAACAGTTACGAAACGAATGGAAGAGCATGACTCAGATAGGAAAATATACATCTGGAATATTAATCATAAATTGGAATTTATGGTTCATTACCTTTATAAAAATATTATCTTCAAGGGTTAATTTAACAACAAATAGGTTGGGGGTTAAACTTCTGCCTTCCCAGGTTTACTCGGTGAACACAGCAGCTTAAAGCGTACAGAATTTGGCAAATTGTTCAGATTAATCTCAACGTTGAAGCCGGTATGTCTGAGGTTTTTAAAATAAACTGGACAGAAAAGCAGCTTCAAAATTAATGCTGTAGTTTTGTTTTGAAAATGTACCAAATTCTGGATGCTCTGAAATAAACAGTCAATCTAAACCCAGGTGAAACCTCTCACACAGAAACCAGTGTCTGATATCTTCCACCCACAAAAATACACAGTCACTCCATTTCACAGTAAATCCTGTAAAGAGCTTTGGGATGTTCTTCCAACAGATACGGCTCTATACCAAATATAAGGATTGCTATTATTCTTTGAAATACCCTCATTGTAGCTGCAGAATGCCATTGAGCGCAGTATGATGCATTGGTGAATTGGCTGTTTCTGCACTTTACAGTGTATCCTGCGAAGCATTTTGAGATGTCTCAATGACACGATAAGGCGCTATATCAAATGGAAGGATTATTATTATACTATCTGTAACACTGAATAGCACAGAGCATATCAATTGTAAAATGCCAGGAAAGGAGCTAAATAATGTAGTCCATATATCACTGATGGCAACACAAGTAGTTTTTAGTTATCAAATACTTAATCTAACATCAGAAAGCATTTCCAGTTACATTAAAACAAACAATGCAATCATATACAGTTTTTCTGCTGCTCATAACTTATGGGAAGCGAAGGTTAATATACATAGTCAGGTGTAGACAGAAAGCACCACAGTAAATCTGCGGCCATTCTACCCAACCATTAAAAGTTAGATTTTTTTTCTACCAGTCGCACATTTCTACTTTAAACGTAAATCATCAGATGAGGCTTTAAACCAGGAGAAGACGGGGACTAAAAGTTACAGTGGAGTCCTGTAGCTCAGTGGTTAGAGCACTCGCTTTCCAAGCGAGAGACCTGAGTTCAATTCCAGGCAGAGGGCGAAACCTTGAGCAAGTTTCCTTACTCCACACAGAGCCTAATAATAATCCCTCCAAAAAAACAAAACAATAATAAATTGGTCATTTTCAATCCACGACTGTCTGTGGGACATTGCTGTGCGCAATTGGCTGCCGCGTTCGCCCACAAATATACAGTCGATTCACTTTACAGTATATTCTGTGAAGCGCTTTGGGACGTCCTCCGGACGTGAAAAGCGCTATATCAAACGCAAGGATTATTATTATTATTATTATTATTATTATACACTGCAAACAGAGAGAGAGATGCAGATACCTTCAGCACTGGAGCGGGTGGACAGCGCTGGCTGTGACTTGCCAACACCAGCAGACGGGGGAGCTGTGCTGTGCTGTGCAATAAGGTTTTAATTTGGCTTTAATATGTACCAAAAAAGAGAATCAGTGAAGGACATTTACGCAGCACTGTGCACTGTGCTGCAAAGCAGCTCTCAACAACACAACTGAGTTGGGAGGCACTGGGGAACCTGGAAGGGAATGATGAGATGGATATTAAGACGCGTTGGAGCCACTTAACAGTGAACTCCACGTCCAGGGATCAGCATTGAGTGAAACAGTTGGGACCTGGACTTGTACTGCGGTGGGAGTGGGAGGGGGTTGTGTTTGTGATCCTGAGAATATGGGTTTAAAACGAGTTTCTCCTGAAAAAGAACTGACCCGCGTCCCAAAACACAGAGGGAAAAAAGTTTGATCGCACAAACCAGGGATGTATGTGTGTGTCATTGGTACATGGCTCTCCCTCCCTCTCTCTCTCTCTCTCTCTCTCTCCCTCTCTCTCTCCCTCTCCCCCTCTCTCTCTCCCTCCCTCTCTCTCTCTCTCCCTCACACACACACACTCACTCCCATTTCCCATCCATTTGGGAATAATCCTAACAATTCAACCAGGAAAATGCTGTTGATCTGAGCTTTGGAGATAGGAATCCCTCCAAACATCCTCCTCCCCCCCACCACCCCCCCCCAACCCCCCCCAACCCCACACCCCCAACCCCCCAACCCCCACACCCCCAACCCCCCCAACCCCACACCCCCAACCCAACACCCCCAACCCCCCCCCCAACCCAACCCCAACCCCACACCCCCCCCAACCCCACACCCCCCAACCCCACCCCCAACCCCACACCCCCCAACCCCCCCCAACCCCCCACACCCCCCAACCCCACACCCCCAACCCCACACCCCCAACCCCACACCCCCAACCCCACACCCCCAACCCCACACCCCCAACCCCCCCCCCAACCCCCACACCCCCCAACCCCACACCCCCAACCCACACCCCAACCCCACACCCCCCAAACAAAATGAAACCAGAGAGCAATAAACCTGAAATTGACAAAGGGATGAAATTGACGAATGTAACACACAATGAATTGGAGGAGCGTCAAAAACCCAACTTCCAAAAATCCTCGTCGGCGTCGTTTCGACTTCTGTGTGAAAAACAAACAAAAAAAAACGATCTCCGGACTTCGATATCACACACAGAGAGAGCGCTGTGATACCAATGTTCCTGACACCGGTTTCACGTGTGTTGTGTGCGAGAAAAACCGCAACTCTCCAACACGTAACAACACTACAAGAACAGAGCACAGCCCATGGAATGCGACAATACTCACTTTTTTTTTCTCTCTCTCTCTCTCTCTTTAAATATGTAGATATATATATCTATATATCTATGTATGATATTCCCGGTTTTGACGGTGAAGGCGGGTCCCGGATCAGAGCCACATGTGTGCGGTCTTCACAACGAGATGACAGAAGTGGCTCAGAAAGGCTGATCGGCGCTCGGGCTCCGGCGGCGGCGGCGACTCTCTCAGTGACTCAGAGTCATCGGCTTCAAACGCATCGCTTCACCGCACACAACTCGCGGCTGAACCTCACTGCAGGAACCGCACACACTCACTCACTCACTCACTCACACACACACACACACCACGGCAGCGCCTGGGGGTGGGGTGGGCGGGGGGCGGGGGGTGGGGTGGGGGGTGGTCCCGGAGTCGGGATTGAGCTCCGTTTGGGATCCGGAGGGAGCGGCTGATCCGGAGCACTGACGGGCGGACGACCGCACTCTCCTCCACACTGACGCACTGAAGCGGTCTACAAACCAACTGGTGCAGCCCACCGCCGGGGTGGGGGGGGAGGGACCACTGCACCCCCCAAACACAGGGGCAACAGGGACCACTGCACCCCCCAAACACAGGGGCAACAGGGACCACTGCACCCCCCAAACACAGGGGCAACAGGGACCACTGCACCCCCCAAACACAGGGGCAACAGGGACCACTGCACCCCCCAAACACAGGGGCAACAGGGACCACTGCACCCCCCAAACACAGGGGCAACAGGGACCACTGCACCCCCCAAACACAGGGGCAACAGGGACCACTGCACCCCCCAAACACAGGGGCAACAGGGACCACTGCACCCCCCAAACACAGGGGCAACAGGGACCACTGCACCCCCCAAACACAGGGGCAACAGAGACCACCTCACACACAGCACAGAGACCACCTCACACACAGCAACACAGAGACCACCTCACACACAGCACAGGGACCACCTCACACACAGGACAACAGAGACCACCTCACACACAGCACAGGGACCACCTCACACACAGCAACAGAGACCACCTCACACACAGCACAGGGACCACCTCACACACAGCAACACAGAGACCACCTCACACACAGCACAGAGACCACCTCACACACAGCAACACAGAGACCACCTCACACACAGCACAGAGACCACCTCACACACAGGACAACAGAGACCACCTCACACACAGCACAGAGACCACCTCACACACAGGACAACAGAGACCACCTCACACACAGCACAGAGACCACCTCACACACAGCAACAACAGAGACCACCTCACACACAGCACAGGGACAACAGAGACCATCTCACACACAGCAACAACAGAGACCACCTCACACACAGCACAGGGACAACAGAGACCATGTCACACACAGCACAGGGACAAGAGACCATCTCAAACACAAGACAGGGATAACAGAGAACATCTCACACACAGCACAGGGACAACAGAGAATACCTCACACACAGCACAAGGACAACAGAGACCATCTCACACACAGCACAGGGACCACAGAGAACACCTCACACACAGCACAGGGACTAGAAACCATCTCACACACAGCACAGGAACAACAGGAACACCTCACACACAGCACAGAGACAAGAGACCATCTCTCACACAGCACAGTGACAACAGAGAACATCTCACACACAGCACAGAGACATCACAGAACACCTCACACACAGCACAGAGACAAGAGACCATCTCACACACAGCATAGAGACAAGAGACCATCTCACACACAGCACAGGGACAACAGAGACCATCTCACACACAGCACAGGGACAACAGAGAACATCTCACACACAGCACAGGGACAGGAGACCATCTCACACACAGCACAGGGACAACAGAGACCATCTCACACACAGCACAGGGACAACAGAACATCTCACACACAGCACAGGGACAACAGGGAACATCTCACACACAGCACAGGGACAACAGAGAACATCTCACACACAGCACAGGGACAGGAGACCATCTCACACACAGCACAGGGACAACAGGGAACATCTCACACACAGCACAGGGACAACAGAGAACATCTCACACACAACACAGGGACAACAGAGAACATCTCACACACAGCACAGGGACAACAGAGACCATCTCACACACAGCACAGGGACAACAGAGAACATCTCACACACAGCACAGGGACAACAGAGAACATCTCACACTCAGCACAGGGACAACAGAGAACATCTCACACACAGCACAGGGACAACAGAGACCATCTCACACACAGCACATGGACAACATAAACCATCTCACACACAGCCCAGGGACAACAGAGAACATCTCACACACAGCACAGAAACAACAGAGAACATCTCACACACAGCACAGAGGCAACATATTCTATTTTTTTTGGGTGTGGGGGTGTGAAATGGTGGTGGTTGTGGTGGGGCAGGGGAGGTGGGGGGGGTCAGCCGGATGTCTGACACAAGTGGAAACCCAGCACCATGGTTAATAGTATCCAAACCAAGCTGAGAATTCCATTCACCCCACCCCTACCCATGGCAATTCCAGAGATAGATTGTTGGAATCGGATGAGCACTCTCCCTGGAGGGATGCATCCTGTTTACTTAATTCCGGAAAGTATTGGCAAGAGCCAATGCTTTGGGAACCCCAGTGTGCGCGTTGGGGTAACTGCTGGAATCGAACCAGCTAAAACCACAGAGCTTGCCATTGATATCGCAATATCAATGGTAAGCAAGACCATTACATCTCAATACAGAGACAAGAGAGACCATCTCAGCAGTTGAAGAACGTGGTGCTATAATTTTGGTCAGACACGTGCAAAAAGTCATCACCATGCTAAAAATATCATTACCAGACCTACCATATCAGAGTTCCAAGTATACCGGCTACACATGGAAATTTCCTGTGCCTGGAAGGGAATGCGCACTCTCTCCATGGAAAGATGCATCCTGCTTGCCTAGTTAGGAGAGTATTAGGTGCAGCTTGGCAAACGCTAACACTTAGTAACCCCAATGTTTACGTTGGGTTTAACAGCTAAAATTACATAGTTTGCAACTGATAGCACTGTTTGGCAAACTTCCAGTTAATAGTCCAGCAAAGAACATGAACAACAATGAATTACATTTGTATAGTGCCTTTCACATCAGGAGGATGTCCCAAGGCTCTGGTAGACCTACCTGTCTACCTGTTAGGGCTTTGGCTTGCAGGATTAACAGGATCTGTCATCAGCAGTGCCCTGGAATTGAATCTGCCTGGCTCAGGAACAGCTTGTGAAAATATTAAAGGGATATGGTGGTGAAAGATTTGAAGCCAGTAATGTATAATGCACACAGAGGCTGATGTGGAAGTTTTATGGACAGGTGTCCTGTCTCCTAAGTTGAAAAATGATGGTGCTACCTTTTGGGAGGGAGGAAATGGACCAAGGCTCAACATGGATCACTTAATGCTGAATGCAAGCCGTCCTGAAAGTTGATAATGGATTAACAGAGTTTTGGTTAGGTGGAAACAATTCTTTTGCAAGGATTTGAAGGAGATCTCCTAACTCTACAGCAGAGATAAAGCACCTTTTTCAACAGAGATTCATCTTGGGAAGCTGTGTAAATAAACTAGGATAGAGTTAAGGCCATTTCACTAAAGACGTTATGACCTGGCCCACAATCCCCCAAATGAAATTAATCACTCACTCCATTACTGTGTGCAAATTGACTGTTGAGTTTGTCCAAAAAATACACATAATCACTCCACTTTAAAGTATATCTTATGAAGTGCTTTGAGACGTCCCAGCAGCATGATAAGGCGCTGTATTAAATGCAAGGATTATTATTTAATATTATTTTATCCTAAAATTTAAATTATGTAGAATTGTGCAACTAAAAAATCAGGCTTAATTTGGAAGCCAGATCTTTATAAGAACTCCAGAAGCATAATAATCCTTGCGTTTGATATGGAGCTTACTGGTAAAATTGTGGTTCAGCACTGCAGTGCTTTCTGCGATGTAATTGCAAAACCCTTTCACGATCAACATTGCCGAATGGTTTTCCCCAGTTCAAATGTCAGCCTAGCTCAGGTAGTGATAATTGTGGGTCAGAAGTTTGTGGGTTCAAACTCCACATCAAGACTGGGAGCTCACAGTCTAGACCAGTGGTGGGCCCGTGGACCAGAAGTGGCTCTCGTTGCTGTCAAGAAGCGGCCCCCCACACATTCGCACTAGCCTAGTTAAGGTCGTGTTTGATTGGATATGTTGGCATAAATCAAAATTTATTCAATCACAAAGCTTCATATTGATGGCTGACCAAAACAGTTGGCCACCACTGGTCTAGACTAACGCTCCAATGCTGGGAGGGAGGTGAAGGGTGCTCTGATGGTTGAGGTGTATTCTTCTGATGAGACATTAAACTGAAGCCTTGTTCAGGTGGACGTTAAATATCCCATTGCACTATTTGGAAAGAGCTCCTGTCATCCTGCAAGCCAAAGCCCTAATGTGGTCCTAGCTGGATAAGCAGCACAAAGCATGCTCAATGCATCTGAAAGTCCCGAAGAGTAGTTGTTTGTGCACTTGCCTTCCAAATGAGAGGATCTGGGATTGATTACCGGGTGGGGCGAAACCTTAGGCAAGTTTCCTTACTCCACACCCCTCTGTTTACCCAGATGTAAGTAGGAACCCAGTTGTTAGTCAATTGGCGGATCGCTTTCTGGGGGTAATAAATCCCTCAAAAAAAANTGTGGTCACTCAATCTATGACTGTTTGCGGGATACTGCTGTGTTTCTCCCACAAAACACAGTCACTACACTTTACAGTATATCCTGCAAAGCGCTTTGAGACATCTCAAAG